GCTCCCTACCCAACAAAGCCCCTTCCCCATTGAAAAAAAAGGACACTGTGACTTCAAGTGAAGACGACACATTACAAGAACCCACAGAAGCAAGGATGACTATGCGCAGATGTAAAAGTACTGATAACTGTTGCTCGGAATGTATAAAATGCTTACCGTGTGTTAACTGAGGTGTGCTAGCTTTGTGGAGTTACCACCTAGCACCCACCTCTGCGCAGACACGAAATAAATAAATATCTCGTCTCTGTGTGTGAGATTGGCTTATTGCACACCCGGTAACGAACCCCGCTTGAGGGACAATACCATATAGTGCCCAGACTGCTTAGGTAACACTGTCAGAAATACCAAATCTAAGCAGGGATGTAGGACCAATGAGGTCATTTGGGATGGGTTTTTTATTTGGGAGGAGTATGGGCAAAGACAAGGCAGCACAGGGACATCAAAAAGGCAGGTCCAGGGAAAAAAAAAAAAAAGGAATAAGGTTGTTATACCTTGTTCAAGCATCATTCCCACTGTAGAGGTGCAGTTGTCTATGGACAGTGGTGAAGCCTACCTCCAGACTTTGGTCTGCAGTTAAAAAAAAGCACATCCAAGCATACATATACAATCCTCTGCAGACACTAAGGGTAATAAAAACAACGTCAGAGGCTCTTTTGTATCCTTACGTGTGCTTTTATGGAATAAATGATCATTTGTTAGTTTCTAAGAGCTCTTCTTCATGCTCTGCACTCATAGTTAATTTCCTATCTTTTTTATTGCAAACTTTAAAAATCTTCACACACTAGGTTAGCACTGAAACCTAAACTTCTGCCTGAAAGCCAAAACTTCTATGCTTCCTGGCCCATACAAACCTTCAATAACTAGTCAGCCATTTCAAAACTCCTGAACCACCCATCCCGTTATCTTCAGTGAAACTTTTTCATTCTCTGCCTTTCTTCCTACATGAATCCTTAATGATCTCGAATCTCCTTCTCTCAGGCCCACTATTTCTGCCGGCTGAGGTCTGAACACATTTCCGTCTAGAGATAGCATAGGGTTACTCCTAAATCAGCCAGAAAGGATTAGTAAAATCAGCAAGAGGTACTCTTCCCCTAGGTAGTAACGCTCCCTGGTAAGTTGCTAAAACTCAGGCATCTTATTGTACAGTTATATCATCTTAAAGCTCCCTTAGGAAAACAAAATAGAGAAAGTTACACACACATGTCCTCTCCCTCCCCAAATCAGGTAAAATTGTTGGAACATTATAAAACGCCAGAACGTTAGAAAAACACACAGTTTAAACATTCAGCAATGCCCATCTTTAAAAGTAAATAACAGAAAATGTTTTTCAAAGTAACTGCATACAAATCTAAAAAAGTTTTAAGTAATGGTATTATAACAGTGTGCCCATCTGGCATATAAGGCCTGGCTGCCTTTATAGAGTGTGCCAGTGAGAGTACATCTGACCAGCACAAAGCAGATGAAGGCTGAGCATGGCATGCATCTCATCTAGAAAGCTGTACAAGTGAGCAGGCAGAACACATGTGCCATTTGTACAGCACTCAAAAGCAAACCTTGACTCAGTGCAAGCAGATATAATCCACTCCACCTCTAGGTGCTGGCCTAGAGGGCAAGGATTGTTCCTTAGCACCATCCCACAAAGAACGTACTGATGTACCTTCAGATTTTTTCCAATGCATTCACCAACCAAAAAGGTCACAGAAAGCTTCAAAATACTCAGAATGACTTAGGCAACGCAAGTTACACACAGAAGATAAGCATTTTATTATTCATGACAAAAAGGCAGAATACTGAATACATCAAGTATAGATGGGAACATTTTTAATTCCAAACAAATGCAACCAGTTCTCTACCACTTTCATGGACTAAAAAAAAAAACCCAAAATAAACCACAATAATCGACGACACAGTATAAACAAATACAGAAATACATTTATGGAATACAACCAAATGATAAACAGTAGCTTACAGTTAAATTTTACCAAATCAAAGTAGTGTTTTTGCTCAGAATTATGCTTGCCCAAAAACAAATAGAAAAACACACCTAAACTTCCAAATCCTAAATAAATGACAATTTCTTCCAACTAGATTACAAGTGTAGCCTCTCCTACTTACAAGAAAAATGGTGTTACAGCTGAGGTTGGGGGCAGGAGAAGTACACACCAAAGAAAGAAGACTGGGAATAAAACCCATAGCCAGACATCCCAGCAACTTCATCTAACAATTGTAACATAACCTTTTAACCACTTCTGAAAATCCACATCAACAATAGCAACAAAAGACATTCTCTGTATTTACAGGTGCAGCATAATCCTGAAAATACTTTAAATTATCTAGTTTTCACCTTAAGCGCTGTGGGTATCAGACCTTCAGAAAAGGAATTACTATCACAAACTAGACTCATTATGAGTTGAAAATAAAACACACATTCTTGCAAATAAATCTAACATTTGCAATTTGCGGAACATAAAAATAGAACACACACAGCTGTTTATTTTTTCTTAACCATCCGTCATTTCTAGGCTCCATTTTGTAACAGTAGGTAAGCAGTGTTCTACAACTACACACAAGTTAAGGCACAATATACTTTACATTAGCAAAAAAAAAATTCTACATTAAAATATGGAAGTTGTGTGTTAATACTACACCAACAAGACTCGCATTTAGGGTATCCAGATGATCTTTAAAAAGAAAAGACACCCAAGCACCTGCTGTTCCAACTGAATGATAGCCAGAAGTTAGAATCAGAGTTAATTAACCCTTAAGTGTCAGTGCCTCTACATGAAAATTAAGTATTACTTGGCACTACAACAAACATAGCCCAGTGAAGTAAATGTAAAAGTTATCACTCAACATGAGTAACGTTGCACAAAACCTTTGTGTTTTTTTATAAGAGCAAGCAGTATGTCAAACTATTGACAAAGAATAGGTAAGCTTGTAATTTTAACTAGGAAAAACCTCGAATTCTGCAATAATGTAATAAAATGGTGCGATATAAAGAAAACAGTTAACAATCACAAATGGTTACCAAAACCCCCTCTACTTAATCAGTACATTAATATAGCACTTCTGATACTTTAGCTAATATTTACTTAAGAAATTCTATCTTATGCATCTTCTGATTAGTTACTAATGGGCATCTTTCGCTTGTATGCTGAAAATATTTGAATGCTTTTTGAATAATTCACCAGCAGAGTTAACTTTGTAAAGATCAGCTGGCATTGTCTTATCTTTTATTTATTCTAATTTCATGGACACCTCTCTCTCCTTTTAAAAAAAATTGAATTCTATTTTCCAGATAAAGTTTTCACAGGAATTAAATCCACCGGGGGGAAGGGGGGTGGGTGTTCTTAGATCTCATCTGCATATAGAGATGCATTAGATGTATTGCCTGTCATTAGGGATGTATTCATTTTCTCATTTAAATTCAAACAATCACAAGGCATACAAAGAAAACCCCTCACACTTCACGCCTCTTCACGCTTTATCTTTGTCCAAACAACTGAGGAAGGAGGCGGGGGAAAAAATTTTAAAAAAAAAAAAAAGAAAAAAGGAAACGTGATGAATTTTTATAACTTCAGAATGGTTACTGAAAAAAAAAAAAAGTTCTAAGACATATACAGCATATCATTGCTTTTCAGTTCTCCTGAAATTTCCTTCTCCTACAAAGAAGAAAAAAAGGAAAAGGCTCTGAATGTTGCCCTTCAAGATAAAAACAGACTAAGTGCATAGGGAAAACTTCCTCTCTTCATTTTGACAGATGGGTGGGGAGGATGGAGGAGAGAGATCAGGGGAACAAGCGCACTCAGCAGAGAGAACGACCCCAATTGTGATGTAACTCAGATACCAAGAGAACCTTGAGAGAGGTCAATGGCATCTTTACACCAAAGGCTAACTGAAAACAACTTAATGGATGTCTCTCCCATAAATGGGTATCCAAGTTTTTGGCTTATTGTTAGTAAACTTTCTCCTAACAAGAGAAAGACGCTCACAGGGAATTTTGGAAATAGAAACAAAGAGAAGAATATGCTTGGCATCTTTGTTTTCTGAGCATCCAAAACAAGGAGACACCATCACTGTAAACCAGATGTTACTACAAATTAAGTTTTATATATACACATACATAAATTGTAAAAGCATTCTGACAGAAAAGTTTCCCAAAACCATGATTGTCTAAATAAATATAACGAGATCTTGGAGGAAAAAAAATACACTACGAGCGATATCTATATCTTTTTTTTAACACATTGAGGAAGTACTTTCCTAACTGCAGTCTACTTATTATTCAAATAATTCTTTTGACAGTATCTTCACACAGTCTTTCTAGACTGTGGAACATAAGAATCACAAGTCTCAACCAGTGCTTCTGGTAGCAGATTTACTCTGTATGAAGTCAATTTTACTTTTCTTATCATCACAATGCTGAAAAAACCCAACTTCTTCACAGTATTGTCCTTCTTTTGCAGTTTCTCTTTTCTTTCAGTGTTATATGAACTCAGATCCTTTGTTAAAGACATTCCAGCACTCACTTTACCAGACTTCCTTATTTGCAACTTTATCACAGATAGTCCTATGCTTCGGATACTGTTTTTGTTTCACTACTTTGCTTTATTTCTATCAGCAAAATAGGAGTTTTTGTCATCATTATAATCTGGTTCACAAAGGGAAGCACAGTAACTAGAATTTGGACACTTAGGCTGCAAATCTGTTTTTTCCGATCTAATTTTGCCAACTGGAATGAGGCAGCACCTACTTCTAGAGTAGACTGCATGGCCAGCAGCAATTAAGGCATGAGCTAGACTGTTCTCCTCATACAGAACATCCACCTCTAATTTCATTTCAGAGCCATAGTGTTTAAAATGAAATATCAGACCGGGTTTACTAAGAAGCTTCTGAAACAGAAGTTTAGCTTCATCACTCCAGTATTCCCCCTTGGCAGGAACTGTATCATGTAAAGAGCAAGAGTGTGCCAAGCGTGGTAAATAAGACAGACTTTCTGGAATAACTTTAAGTTTATGGATATCAGAGTAAGGGATGCTCTTCAGAAAGCCATAATCAATAAATGTAAGAACAACAGACTGACTTGTTACTTTACTAATTTCTGCCCTGTTCCACTGTGCTTCCAGTTCAGACTTGATCAAGCAGCTAGCACCAGGAGCCACAAGTTCTTTTGGCAAAGCTGGCAAGTTGTCAGGAAGGTCAGAGAGCAGCAAAGACAAGTTCTTCATGCAATCAAAGAAGACTTCAAACTGGATGCAGAAGTTTGAAGGATCAGTAACTGCAGTTGCAAACCCGGGATACCTTCTGCCACTCTGCAGCAGCATCCATGTGATTGAATTTATCTTGAATGATGTACCAAACTCCTTATAGTCAGTATCACTGGATTTTTCTGGTCCAGTCTGACAATGACTTAAGAGCTGGTTCAAATACTCCTGAAGCAGAATTTCTCCTATTAAAATATCTACCTCCCAGATATGAGAGGATTCCAAGTATCTCAAAAACAAGATCCTTATTTCATGATCCAGGAGTGCATTTACTACATGGACAAAGTGAATTTTCTTCAGTTTTTTAAACCAAACCCATTTACAAAACACAGCTTGTTTAGGAACACTTTTAATCTTGTCACTGAGCATCTTTGCATTATTTAAAGACACCATCTCACACTTGCCATAATCCACGAAAAAAACTAGCATTAACTTCTCCCTGACAAATTTCTTTAACACTTTTGATCGATACCACTTCAAGTTCCTTTCAGATTTTGTCATGCATTCCAAACCTTCTTCAATGTCATCCACTCTAAGCAAATCACTTCTTTGTGCTTCTTTGACAAGCATTACATTTAACTCATGTAATATTTGCAAATTTCTAAGTAACTGTACATGAAATTCTCCACTTTCTGAAATATTAATTACTTCTGCTCCTTCTACCTGTCCAGAATTTAGATCTTGAGGAAAGACATTTAAGGGTGTTTTAGAAGAATTTTTTTTTCTCCTAACAGCTTTAGTTTTACTTTGACCACCTAAACCATTCCTAGACTTTCTCTCTTGAGGATTACGATTTGTTACCAGAATTTGTTTTGGCCTATTTTCCCGATTATGCATTGGTGTGTTTTGCCTTGTCCTGCCTTCTTTGTGCAGAAGGTCCTTAGACATAGACTTTCCATCACAAATTACATCTATTTCCCATTGCTCTCCATGTTGCTGTAAGAACTTGCAAGTGACTGGCTTGTTATTTATTCTGCTTACAAAATAGGAAGTACTTTTATTAGTCCAGCTTTCATCAGGAACACTTACTACTCTGCTAAGGAAACAATGAACACTGAGCCTCGGTAAAGTCAAGAACTTTTTCTGAAGCCTGCAGATTTTTGAAGGACTTACAACTGCTGCATTACCATAGTCAATGAACTCTACCTCAAAACAGTTTCCTGATTGCAGAGTTTTAATAACTGCTCTATAGTAAAAACAATCAGTGTCATGCTGTGCTACAATGAGATCCCCTACCATGAGCTCATCTAAGCAATTTTCATGACCTATATTCACAATGCTTTCATTTAATTCTTCTGCTAGTTGTATTATTAAGTTTTCATCTTCTGCAAGCTGAACATAGAAACTTGATGGACTATTCATATGAGAAATATACCCTACTACTTCAGAATTCACCTGAGTATCACGTTGAGGAAGACTGATTAATTTAGGTGTATTTTCGTTACTCCTTTCCTGACTCATTATGAGATTCAGAGAGAGCATTTACAGTTACTTCCTTTGAATTTAAAGCAGGATGACAGACTGAGTGAGAAGCACACTCTCCAACCAGAGGTTCCTCTCTGTGCTCCAAAACAGCACTGACAGTATTTCTAAAACCTGGTTCTTGACTGTCCTGTAAAGTTAGCGGTTTTGAGGACCCACTACACAACTTTTGTGTGCTACATGCAGTTTGCTCTTCATCTCCAAAATTCTGTCCAGTATCTTTCTGATAATACTTATCATATACTTGGCATTTCACTTCAGTTTTCAATTTAACTGTTTCAGGATTTTTAAGTGTTACTTTATTAATTTCTTTGTCACATTCCATGTGACATATCACTCCTCCATCACTTCCAACAAACTGTTCCGTATGATTTTTCAGTGCCAATTCTTCTGATATTTTTTCTTTAATTTTCTGACTTACTTTGAGCTGTCCATCATACAACTCCACAACAATCTGTCCATCTGATTCTCTGGATACAATTACAGCCTTCAGCAGTTTACAAAGGAATGTTTCCTCAAACCATCTAGTAACTCTTGCTGGAATTTTTGTCTCCCTAAGATCTGACAGACAGCATTTAATAGCTTGCATGGGTGTGAATATTAGGTCAGTGGCAGAGTCTGGAATAGGCATCAGCTGGTCTCTCTCTACCATACTCTTATTTCCAAAATCCACAAAGTCAGCACATAGATAGGATGTTGATTCCACAGGAAAAGCCAAAGCTCTATAAAAGAGACCATCTTCAAAATATCTGGCTATACATAATCGCGTATTGCTGGTATCATATTTCGCATTATTTGACATTTTACTTATGACACTAACCTTCTTCATCAATGCATCTATCGTTTCAGTGTTTCGATTAAGCTGACAATAGAATTTTGAAGGACTATGTATGTGAGTTATATAAATCTCCTCCTCACTTCCAATTTTTATATTAAAAGATGAGTAGCAAAAACTGTACAGAGAACCCAAAGATGCAAGGTTTCTCAGGCCAATATATTCAGACTGGCTGAGACCACGTTCTCTGAGGAATTCCTCTGCACTAATAAATGGAGTCTGTAAGTCAACTACATTGCATAAACAGTTGGGGCTTACAAGAGTAAGAGCATAAATGATGCAAGTCAGTGGTCCTCTAGAAGCAGAAATGAAGTCTTCAAAATGTCTACACACTTTTTCAGACCAATTAAGTGAGTCAGTCTGTAAGGGTACATTTTTAAGTCCACATCGAAATGCTTGACTTTCCAGAGTCAGGAAATCTGGAAGAACAGCTTGAAGATCTTTAAGCAAAACTCTTTCAAAAAACACATCAAATTCGTTTGTGGATACTTGCTGCACCACAGTTGCTCTGTACCACCTCCCGTCCTTGGGACATTTAACAACACAGGCAACCTGTCCAGTTTTGTAAGGACTGATATGCTCTTTATAGTAAGTCTGAATTTGTTCCATTAAGTTATTTAGCTCTGGCAGTTTACTTTGCAACTGACATGAAAAATCTGCTGGGGAAACAATGTAAGAACACACCACTTCAAGAACAGCTCCTGGTTTAAACACAAATTCTTTATAAAATAATTTTTTCTCACGTACCAATTTACGGCTTTTAGAGATAGCACCTTTTCCAAAACAGGACAACACAACAGATTCTTTCAGCACTGAAGGCACACTTAATGATTTTTCCTTCTGAAATATCTCTCCATTTCCAGATACCTTATTTTTACGAATATTACAGATGCTCTGTGCATTTACTTCTTTTTTTAATTTGTGGGGATTCAGGGCTTGAATTGTTTTTGCTGAATTTAGAACAGAATCTGGTGTCTTTTCCCAGTATTCAGCATATCCAGCCTGAACCATACATGTGGCAACATTTCTATGCTGCAAACCATTCTTATACTGTGCATGAACAATATATTTGTTGTTTTGCTTTCCAATGACATGAAGCAGGAGTAGTTTGTTAAACACAATGCCTTTGAAGAAATCATTTTCCTTTTTAACCCACATATCATCAATAGGAAACGTATAAGCAAGCGCACAGCACACAGCTAAAGCTGGTAAATCAGAAAACTCAGGAAGCAATGTTTTCACATCGTAAAAGGGTACTGTATCTGTATTTCCAAAGTCCAAAAAATAAACAGTAACATTTACATGAAGCACTTCAATGACAACACCCCGATAATAATGCATGTCTTTGCTATACCGGGCACAGCACAGCAATCCAGGTTCTGGGTTTTTAAGGACCATTTCATCAGCTCCACATCGGTTATATGCATCTGCAATATTTTTCATCAAGGCTTGAAATTCATTCTGATATTCACATGTTTGAATCCAGAAGTCAGATGGATTTATGACATATACCACAAAAGCAGTATAAAAGGAATTCATTTGCATTTCTACTCTTTTGCAGTGGCTTGACAAAGAAATATCCCGTTCAGGTAAGCAGTTTTTTGTATGTTTATTTCCAGTACAATTCTTAAATGAATTGTATCTCTCATCACATTGTTTGTAGTTTACAGCAATACTTGTGATTTTTGTTCCCAAAAGCGAGACACATGATGCAGCTGCCTCATTCAGGTTTTCTGGATGCTTAGCATTAATTCCAAGATTGTGATTTTGCAGCGTAACGTAATACAAGCATTTAATGTCATTGAATAAATCAACATGGACACACACCGAAGTTTGTTCTATCAAGGCCCGTATAAGTTCTTTCAGCTGAACTTTTTTTACTGTTTCATCCTGACTACCAAAACAAGACAGCGCACATGGAAATGAAATCATTGGTAACGCCATGAACTCTACTTTAAGTTTCTGAATGCAACTAGATGGCACCGCTTCAATATTGCCAAAATCCATAAACCAGACTTCCACATGGTCAGAGAGAAGCTGTTTTATCACTCCTCTATGCCATTGTCCATTTTGCATTTTGGCAGCACAGAGTAGCCCTAAATTATCAGAAGATTTATTATTTTCTGTAGTGATAGCTTCATAGTACAAATGCATAGCTGCTGTCAAATCTTCCAGCTCTTTCTGCCATTTCTGTATCTGACAGTAAAATTTATTTGGGCTTACTGCAACAGTTATTTTTACGTTTTCTTTACTGCCAACAGGTAGACGTGGAAAGAGATCACCTGGAACTGGCCAAAAATCTGTTGGTTTCTCAGAATTACTGAAAGTAAGCAACTTCTTGACTGGATACTTCTGTTGAAACAATTGTGGCACCCTCTTACAAAGCATTTCCTGGGGAAACGCTCTTAAAGTTTCTACAACAAGACAAAATGAATCTCCATCAATAGATTTTCCTAACTGCAGTTCAAGAACATCACTAGTGATCTTTGGTACTTCTAGAATAAACAGTTGGTATGGCATAACAGCTTTCACATGACCTGTAATCTGTAATCCTACCAGAGATGAAAAATAGTTAATAGCTTTTGGACCCCATTTTTCTCCAAGAGGAAGTATGCTTGCAAAAACGCCCAAAACCACCTTTGGAGGCAGCTGAAACAATTCATCGCAAGCAGAAGCAAGATGCGTTTCCTCAACCACTAGCACTTGCCCAGTGTCCATAAGAAAAGCCTCGCAGATATTCTCTCTCTTTTCTAGAACTCTTCCTCTATGCCATTTTCCTTCTGTGTCTTCCACCAAACAAGATCCACCAACATGAACATTATCTTTTACCTTGAATACACGTTGTATTTCATTTTGTAGTATATAATAGTCAAGCTCACATCCTGCCTTGTATTGACCCTGGAACACTATAACCAAGCATTCGGGATGGCATTCTATATGAGTTATCTTCAGTTTCATATCTACTGTGTTTGGTGAGGGAGTCAGAGATTCCATTCTGTCTGCAAAGAAAAGGAGTAACATCAGCTTGATAATTTTCCATATTTTTTTCTTTGTCAACTGATTCCTTACACGAAATTTGTTTTCAAAATGCTTTAACAGCATACTATCACACTTCACACAATTCTCTGTAAAGACATGTTCAGATAACATCTGAAAAAAAGCACCTCTTACTTGCTCTTGCGGCTGGACTAATTTTATCACTTGAGAATAATTTGTAATCAGAAAGCTGTTCCCAGAATAACACAGAGAATTAAAGATTGTATCAGAAAAGTGGGGGGGATGGGGGGTGGGGCAGGAAATGACACAATACGGACATGCAGAGACGCAGAACAGGACAGGACAGGCAACCAGAAAAATAACTGTATTTCTTCTCAAAGAAAAGTATTTCTGCTCAAAGAAAACCAAAGAGTGGAAAGCAATTCATGTTATTTATACAAACTCTGCTCATCTCACAGAAGTTACTTACATCCAGTAAATTTAACTGCAAATCTCTCCAAAGGAGATCCAATTCAATGTTTCATTGCACTGGACTTGCAGTTACAATGAGAATTTACCTGCAAAAATATCTCCACTCTGTTTCTCTCTTTCTTTTTAATATGTGAATGACCAAGGACTCCTAGCCCTACTCACCCTGCCTTTTCTGTGTAAATCACTTTTTCAAATCAATGACATCTTACAGCTCTGTGCTTTACTGTTTACTTAATCTGGCTGTCTATACACTATCAGGTATAGCTGTAGTGTATTTTAAGTTTTCATAATTGCAAGGACATACAGAACGCATTATTTATGTCCAACATTTCTGCACTGCCCATCAACTAACAATTGTGCCAGGTGTTTTGTACTGTCTCAACACTCCAGATTCTGACAGTTTAAGTATCTTCAAACCCTTCAGATACTTCTCTGACCTTCATCCATAATCTGGTCTTCAAGATCAGCTTCCAGTTCCATGTGATTTCATGTTGTTTAAAAAGGCTGTGCATATCCATAATTTAATCAAGCAATTCTATGAAATGAAATGCTGTTCTAACAAAGTAATTAGGGGTAGACCACATCTGTCAAATGCAAAGACGGGATAAACACACAAGGACAGACTGGACAAGGCATATGTTCGATTTATGAATTTTTATGTAAAGCTGAAAGTGAAACTTTCAATTTCAACTACAGGTTATTAGAGCAAGATCTTCCTTGGCTTCAACAGAACTGCCACTATAGTTTTTATCACAAGCATACATTAAGTAGCTAGTGATCATACAATCTGTCTTCAGAGTAAATATTGATCCCTACCATTCTAGTTCCACAAAAAATAAAAATTAATAAATAAATGAGCAATCCTACTGTAAAGCTTACCAGAACATCTCAGGCAGGAGGAGGGAGGATACGTGACTTCTCAAAAAAAAAAACCAAAACCCACAAACCAAAACCAAAACCACTGGCCACCCAAAAAAACCTCCCAGTAAAAGCAGTACCAAATCCAGGTCTGACAAATACCTTCTTAAACAAACCCCGCTATTTTTCACTTCTCCCTGTAGTAAAATAGAAAGCTAAATTCTGGGGTTTTTTAATGAAAGAAAACAGCCTTCAGGAGAGGGTTCTGTCTGCCTGGAAGAAACACCTGATCTTTAGAGAGAATCAAACTTCTGAAGGTGCATCACTGATGCTTTGGACCCCTCTTCTTTTTTTTTTTTTCCCCTCCATTGAAACAAACCTCTGGTTGCAGAAACACGTAACAAACGAAAACAATGCATCAACATTTGCTTGCCCATTGCCACAGCCCAAACAACAGCATCCCTCTGATACAGTCACATTTCTACAGTTTACAAAAAGACTTTTTGCTTTTTACTCACCTATATACCAGTTAGGACTTATTCAATTCAGAACACATCTTTTAGAAACCTCAGCCCTCTTATTAACAACTCTGCATCCCTCTACAAGAAAAGATGATAGAAAAATCGTTAGAAAAATATATGTAAACTAAATTCTTGTACTACTTCTCTAAATCCTCCTCCTGCCCAACAAACACACCCTGGAAGAGTTTCTCATACCCAGATTAATTACAATGTTAAGATTTCAAAAAACTGAATCCACCTTCCTAAAGACTATCCTTTCGTCACTGCAGTTCAAAAACCACACCAGTCAGAAAAACACTACACAGATAATCTACCACCTACTTTCTAAGCAAGAATGATCACACATTTATTTTTGTTCGCAATGCTTCAGCCATCAAAATCTATACTCTATCATGCACTACTACCATACAAACTTACGACACAATAAAAGGGCTTTTAAATGCAACCAAATACAGGACACAAGCGACAGCTTAATGTATCTGCGCTGCCCTCCAAAGCAGCAGCTCTGACCGGGGCTGTTTGACGCCCCCGGCAGCGCTCGCCTGAGAGGAGCGGAGCCGGGCTCGACTCGACAACGCCCAAAAAAAAAGCGCGCCCCCCCCCCCAGCCGAGACCCGAAAGTGAAGACCGCCACCCTTCAGCAGCAACAGCAGCAGCTTCCTTACCACTCACAAGCGCGAAAGCGACGTGTGAGAGCCATAACCGTCAGAGCACGATCATTTTACACCACCCCCACACCGAGCTCAACAACCACCCACCCACTACCACCACCCACCCCGTACCGACAAAATGGCGGCGGAAAGATCAGCTCTCAC